TCCATCCTCCATCCACCCATCCTTCTATCCATCCATTCTCCGTCCACCCATCATCCATCCATCCTCCATCCATCCATCTAACCATCCTCTATCCACCCACCCATCCATCCATCCATCCATCCATCCATCCATCCATCCATCCATCCATCCATCCAATCCCATTGTCCTGTGTGTTAGGAGGACAGAGAAGGGACTCTGGGTCCAAGACCAGAGCCTCTGAGCAGGCCCATGACCAGATGCTCTTCCTTTTTCCATTGACAAGGAGAGTCATGCAAATTTTGGAGCATCAGGGTCACAATATGAATTAATAATGCTGCTACATGCTTTCTGGACCTGAGATAGTCTTAGTAGGCATGTGTCTTAGTTTATCAGATGTCTTGGGGAGAGAATCAATGTTTTGGTAAACTCATCGAATAGCTGAGACTCACTTCTCTGTGTCCAGAGCCCTAAAGAAAGTCCATGGTGTATAGATGAAGGTTCTTCTGAAGTCTATTTAAGTGGAATTAAATTGTTTAATCAAGACACAAAAATGAGTTTAAGTTAGTTCAAAGCAAGACTACAGGAAAATTACAAGACTGTGCCTTTGGGATGAGGGCCAGGCAGCAAATCCTCTTAGTCCTTTCTATCTACCTATCTACATTCTGACCTTCCTGCCTGCCTGCCCATCCACACACCCATTCACTTAGCCACCTCATCCACCTTTCCATCCATCTGTTTCATCCATCAATTCCTCTCACTCATTCATCCCATGGGTCCATCCATCAACCTGTTCATCTATCTCCCCATCTACCCCATCCATCCATCTACTCACCAATCAATTAATACATCCACCCATACCAATTCATTATCCATCCCTACACGCATCTTCTCTCTTGAGTGTTTGCTTTCAGTTGTACAACAAAAATGTAATCAAGGCTTGCTGTAGGCTAGCAGATCAAACCCTCTCCTTGTCCCCAGTGAAGTGACAAAGTTGATTAAGAACATCTGTCCCACTTGATCAATGTGTGCTCCCCTGTCTTACCATTTCTGCTGTTAAGGGAGGAAGCCCCTTGGGCAGTTGTCCATCCCCTGCCTCTGTAGCTCACACAGTTCGTGCATGGACTAGCATGTAGCTAGTGTATATGTATGTGTGTTGAATATAACTCAGCTGCAGGTGTCCAGGGGCTGGGTAAGTTCAGTTGACAGGAGAGATGAATGAAATGGATTAAAGTTGGAGGTTAAGGACTCAAAGGACGTTTTGGTGGGGGAGGAAAACAGGAGTTGGCTTTTGATTCTCTTTCTCTTTCTGTCGGGTTTCTGGTTGTGGGGATGGAGTTGGGGAGTCCTTGCTCTTCTTACTCCTCCCTGCTTTTCCTTGGGAGCTCGAGATACAGCTATGTGAGATGAATCTGGCTTATTCACTATTTCAACATGCTAGCTCCCAGGGACATAGCTGAGTCTCTATGAAAGACTTGGAGATCCCCAGATAAACTACCAAGTCATACCAGTGGGGCAGGGCTCCTTGATCTGGGCCATGCTGGATCCCCCAGGAGGGTCTCTGCTCCTCTCCACCCCGTCTCTCCTGAGTTGACCTCTGTTCTCACAAGGCTGCCCTTTCCTTCCCGCCTTGAAATCTGATAATGAAACTAATACCCAATATTTTTGCCTGGGAGAGAAGGAGGAGATAAACAGGAAGGCATGGGGGATTAGGGTGTCTCTCTGAGGCAAGGCCTGCGGTTGGTGAGAGTTGGGTGACACCTCTTTGTGGACCTGAGGGGTCCAGATGTGAGCCACTTTGCCCAATGCATTTTTCCATTTGTGTAGAGAAAATAAAACAAAGAGAAAAGAAAACAAGCTATAAAATACTTTGCAGAAGTCTGAGCACGGATAATTATCACTTGATGTTCCCTGACAGCCCCCAAGGAGGGGTAGGGGGTGCTTTTTGATGTTGGCCTCAGAGTTTTCTTTTGTATGACCAGTTGTTTGGAAAGAACCTTTTGTTGGTATGAGGTGTGCAGGGAAGGAGATCTAGCTGGAGCTTTCCCAAGAGGTAAGGAAGGCAGCCCCACACTCCCAGAAGGCCTGTAGGATGCTGGGCAGCTAGAGGGGGACACTGGGGTGTGTGTGCCCCCATGAAGGAACAAAAGATGCTGCTATGAGGCCTTTCTGTGTGCAGGAGAGGCCTAAGGGAGGTGAGACCCTGGGGATCCTTGCAGATTCCTGGTCCTGGGCAGGTACAGCAGGTCTTGGGGTTTCTGTCCTGCAGGAAGGATCCAAGTTCTGGCCTGTAGTTCAGGTTCACCTGTTACGTATGGTGATGCTGGTCATCTTCTCTGAGGCAGTCTAGCAGTAGAAAGACCAACTGCTGCAGGCCTGGGCTCTACTCACTGACTTCTTGGTGCTGGGCTGGCTGGCTAGTCCCTGCACACCTCTGAGTAAATCCTATCCCTTGTCCAGCTGAGTGTGGGGTGGAGATGCAGCTTCTTTGTGTCTGTGAACTCATCCCTTGGGGACACCTGCTCAGTTCTTGGGAGTCAGATTTGTTCCCTAGTCCAAACTGGCTTCCAGCTGCTTTTGGACAGGTGCTATCATGACACCCCCCACAAAAGCCCTCCTCCACCTCTGCTTGTCAGTTGATTGACTAATGGGCACATGATTTGGGGAATTGCTCTTGGAAGAACATTTAAGGATGCCTATAACACCAGAGAGCAAAATCTACGTGGTACAGTTGCAAAACACAAAAAGTAAAAATAGCATCTGAATAAGAAACCAGTAAAAACACTTACAGCTTGTATAGTAGAAAAGGCAAATTTTTAAGCCAACCATAGAGAGAGGAAAACTGGGTCATGTCAGAGACTCAAGAAGGTATATCCCCTCTTCTGTAATCATAGACACACGTGAATATCATGTGCAGATCTATCTTTTCCCCAGACAGTTTGTAAACTTTTTTTTTTAATCAAATGCTGACACCAAGTGTGTGTTGTTCTTCTTTTCAAGGGTGTGGTGAAATAAGATCTGTCACTTCCTGCTGGTAAGAGGCAAAGCCAGTTCAGCCTTCCTTGAGGGCAACTTGGTGTTTTCAATCCAATGTTAAAAATATGGAGAACCAGAATTTAACTGGGAATCCTGCCTTGAGGAATGCGCTATCTATCAGTAGATGTGCTTGTTCAAAGGTGGCTCAGGGATTAACCCTGAGCTGCAGGGAACAGCTTGCTCAGCAGTCCAACTCACACTAAAGCCCAAGGTACTATATACTCCAAGTACCACACACTCTTTAAAGATCACATTGAGCCATATTTGACACTAACAATTGTTCATCGAGGGGGAGGGGGACTACACAGCTAGATGCAGACAGGTATTGCCCATATTTCTAGAGAATATAAAATAGTCCCATGGCTGGGCCCAACAGAAAGCTGCTGTGTTCACAGTGGTTTGTGGAAACAGGAGTGAACTTCTCCCTTTTTGCTTTTGTTTTTTTAAATGTATGACATTGAACATCATTTCTTTAGAAATTCATAAGATGTGCATAGAACAGGACAGAGAGAATATGATTAAAGTATACCATATGCCGTGTGTGAAAATGTCATGATGATGCTTGCAATTTTGTATGATTGATATATGCTTTTGCAAAAAAAAAAAAATGTAGGGTAAGATATATCTGAGAGTTATTGAGTGTGGTTGGCTTGCAACTGGTGGTATCCTAGAGTTTGAGCCCAGAGAAAGCAGTGTGTTGGGGGTGGGGGTGGGGGGTAGGTGGGGGTGGGGGTGGGGTAGGTGAGGGTGGGTGGGGTAGGGGGGTTGATCCTAGTGTGAAGTAAAGAGAACCCTTTCAGGGACATGCTGGGGGCCTCTGCCAAGCAAGGGCTAGAGCTAAACTTGGAAATGACACTGAATTTGTACCCCCTGGATGGTAAAGTGGCTGTAGCCACATGAAAAAGGGTTGTCATAGAGGACAGGAATACATGCTGGCCTTGGAGGGGGAGGGACACCATCACACTTGGCATGGTTTGGAAACTGACCAGAGTTCAGAATAACGCTGTGCTAAATGGTTTTGACCTTGTCCTTATGGATACCCTCAGATTGGTGCTTAGAAACCCTCGTTCTGGTCACAGTTGTCTCTGAGTGACCTCAGAACCCCCTGAGGACACAAAAATTCCATCATGGAATCCTTTCTGTAAAGTGGCATTGTATTTGCACATAGCCGAGGCACATCCTCCTATGTCTATGTAAATAAAACTCCTTGTTAGAATTAATCTCTAGATGGCTTAGCCTGCCCAGTAAAATGTAAATGTTATGTAAATAAACACAATGTAATTTTTAGAGACTAATGACAAGAAAAATTCAGTACAGATGCAGTCCCCCCCCCCCAGATATTTTGGGTCCACATGGTTGATTGAATCCTGCAGATACAGGTTGACTGAGGCAGGATAGAGAAGAAGGGGCTGATGTAGGGGGAGGCACCTCCGGGTCCAAGTAGAGGCCCCAGACTTGGAGCTGTAAGTGAGGTTTGTGGGTCATTTGCAGAGAGGTGGTGTGAGATGCAGGAGTTAGGTCCCAAAGACATCAGGGTAGGCAGGGTGAGGTACCGACCTGCGAGCTGGTGCACAGACCAGGGAAGTGGGACTGGCAGGGAAGAGTCATAGAGCAGGGAAGAGGAAAAGCGGGGTCTTCTGTGGTGCTGATGGTGGGGTGGAGAGGGAGTAATTGGCTCCAGAGTCCAGAGGAATGGGAGAAAGGAGATGCAGGTGATGGTAGAGGTGGAAGGTAGGGCACCTAGGTATGGTCTGTTCCCACTGATGGACTCCCAGCTCCCAAGATCATGGTGTGGGCAAGACCTTAACACACAGATTTCAGGAGGCCTCAGTGTGGTACCATGAGCACTTCGAGGGAGCTAAGGAAAGGCTCCCAGAGCATAGGACTATCCTGCCGGGAGATGGAGGGAGACCTGGGATGGACCCCTCCCCAGGGTGTCGGTCCTCCAGTCCCCTTGTGCTGATGGCTTCTTTCTGTTTCCCCTGCAGCCTGCAACTGCAACCTCCATGCTAGGCGCTGCAGATTCAACATGGAGCTGTACAAGCTGTCAGGGCGCAAGAGCGGAGGTGTCTGTCTCAACTGTCGCCACAACACTGCGGGCCGCCACTGCCACTACTGCAAGGAGGGCTTCTACCGAGACATGGGCAAGCCCATCACCCACCGGAAGGCTTGCAAAGGTAGGTTGTCTTGGGTCAGGGAGCAGGGGTTTTTCCAGGGACACTAGGCTTCCTTCTAATTCCCTCACAAAGTGGAGTAGACCAAAGTACGAACACACACACACACACACACACACACACACACACACACACACACACACACAGAGTCTCTTTCTCTTGTTTCTCTCTAGGCCTCCCTGGTATTTGGAGGTGTAAGCCAAAACAACAGGGCTGTGGAGACAGAGCTCAAAAAAGAAAGTAGAAGGTGCAATGCCTTGTGAGGGTGCAGTGCGGGGCCAGGCTCCTGCCGCTTCGCTTCCCCCTTTGCCTCCCTCCTCCTCGGCTTCTCCTAGGCACAGGTGTGCTGCATACCAGAGGAAAGAGAGTCGTGTTCACCAGGCTTACGGTTGTTGGGACAAAGGACCCTCTTTTTCCAGCCCCTCGAAGACACACTTCTTTGGATATGTGTGCGCACACTGCCTCCCGGCCCACCCCCATCACACACACAGACACACACTCAGTTGCAGTGAGGTTGGCAATTTCAGGATCAGGGTCTCAGAAGGAACATTTAATCCCTCTGCAAATAGCTTTACTTTTCAGGACAAAAAAAAAAAAAAAAAAACCCAAAAATTAAAAGGAGACGGGCGACTATTTTTTGTTCACCGGAGCAAGCACTAATGTTTTAACTTTGTGCTGTTTGTTTTTCCTCTCACCAACAAAAAATGAAGCAAGCAATGGTCAGATGACTCAGAGGAGCTGATGAAATGCCAGGGAACCCAAGGAGGTGGGAGTGGAAAGTAGCTCCCCACCCCCCACTAGCTTTTGGGAATTCCTGGGACTAGAGATTTCTTTGCTCTGACGTTGGGGTCTGAGGCTAGAGCATGTCTGAGCATGGCTTCCTAAGGTGTTTACATCTGAGGGCTCCTGGAAGACACTGGGCCTTTAGGGACCCTGACCCAGAGGAGTGTGTAAAGCATGGCAGACAGCTTGGGTGAGGAACTACAGTGAATGACCCTTCCTAGATTCTGCTCAGCCTCTGAATGAAGGAGAGGTGTTGGCTTCCTAACGGAGGAAAAACACCAGATGTTGGGTGCCAATGCGCAGAATGACTATAGAACTCCAAGGGTCCAGTGCAAAGTGAAAATACAGGATTCTTTATGCAGAGTTTCAACCAGGTGTGTGCCCGGAGCATGGAGCCATTTCTGCATGCACAGAACACTTCCTTGATAACCAAACAGCAACACAAACCTCACCTGCTTTGCACACTCTACATGTACAGACCAGTAAGGTGTCTCTCAAGATGTAGACAGGCTCTCATTCTATGTCTGTGGCCATTGGCTGCCTTTGTTGGTTGCCAAGAGAATTTGAGCATAAAGGTAGCGGGGCTATTTCCTAATCAGAAAGACAACAGATTCAGGAGAGAATGCTTAGGGAGACTGAGAATGGGCAGGAGGTGGTCTAGACAGTGAGGCCCAAGGAAGTTCTACTCTGTCAGGAAGGTGTGAGCAGGGCAAAGCTAGAGATGGCTTAGAGACTTCAGAGAACAAAGTTGGAGCGTACCCAACTCCTTTGCCTAGATCCAAAGAGTCTGCTGTCTCTTTTATAGAAGAGATGGAGGCTAGGATCCTATAAACAATTGGCCGACACAGATTTATTGGTTATTTGGCCACGAAGTCTAGCCAGGGGCAGCCACCTCAGTGGGTACTCCTGTGCCCCAGAGCAGGAAGGTCCATCCATATTCTCCATGAGAAAGGATGCTGGCTACCTACTCCTGCCCTGCTGGTTTTTCCTATTGGGTCAGAGATGCTCATCTTCCTTTGCCAGCTGGGGCTGGGGGTGGGGCAGGTACAGACAGACGAGGGGGGGTGTTCCTGTTCTGTGACTTCACATACTGTAAGCCAGTCCCAGGTGGCTGCTTTCAGTTATAGTCCTATTCCCCCCCCCCCAGGGAACCCAAGAGTAACTTGGGGGATGGAGGGAAGCTAAGGATGAATCCTGGTCAGGGAGAGACAGGAAAGGGTGTGTGGAAGAAAGGCAGTGGTTTGGGAGCCTCACACCTTGGTGAGGAAAGAGAATGCTTCCCTGATCCTGCATCCAGATTGGAAAAGTATAGTCTGAAAAAAGCCCCCCCCCCCATGATTGGTGAAAAAAGGCTGCTTTCCTATCAAGGGTCAGAAATGTGACTGTCCAGGCCATCTGATGGATGGAGAAGGAGTCCCTTGAGTCCTACTCTGTACCTCCAGCTCTTCCCTTCCTCAGTTTCTCCTCCTTAGGGGTGTGGGAACTTTGAATATCTTTATGGATACTTTTTGCCCCAAATCAACCTGGTGATCGTGGCAGGGAGCAGCTCTAGGAGCAGCCTGGATTCTAGGCGGGGAAATGTGTGCCTCCAAGTCTCTTGGTGAAAAACCCACCTCTCTGCCACTACATGGGACCCTTCTGCCTGTCCTCTAGGGCCACGTGATTTAAGCAGTGGTCCCTTGCACGCAAGCTTGTTGCCCCCCAGTTTTGTGCTGTTTCAACAGCTTGTTCTCCAGGGAGTCCAGATCTTGTGGGTAACATTCTGTCCCTTGCCCTGGCCTCTGAGAGTGCCCCTGAGGAGCCCCATCCTAGGTCCTCCCAGGAAGGCCTCCTACTTTGCTTTACCCTAATTTCACAGAGGAGTCGGGACAACTGGCCCTCAACTCCCAAGTTGGCTCAGGGAATGGCCGTGGGGCCCTCTTTACCCCCTGACTTCTCAGGCCCTGGGAGGGGCCCGGGCAGGGGGCCGAGGCCACCCATACACTGCTGGTGATTGGCTGGCTCAAGACCTTGTTCAGTGCCGAGCAGGGGTGGACCCAGACAAGAACAGCTTGGAGCAAGGGCATTTGATTCCAAACATTACTCTGCAGTCTAACCCATTTGGGAAGTTTCATAGCAACAAATTTGTTGGGGTCTTTCTCCCCTCCCCTCCCTTAGGAGCAAACGGGGACTGGCAGGGTTGGTGCATACAAAGGGCTGTAATAAACATGCCCGGGGAACAGGCCGCTGCCCTCTCAGCTATTCAGCACGATTTCACAGCGCTGGGCCAGCCTCATTATGGTGTGGGCTGTTGTCCTATACAAAGTCAGATGAGATGAATTTCTCCCCTTTCTCTGCAAAATGGTTTGTGAGTGATACTCGTCCTGGAATCTGTCAAAAGATAGGAGTTTTTGTTTACCATTTGACTCCTTTATGGACCGCAGAGGCACTTTTCTTTTTATAGCCTGCAAAGAAGACGTTGCCATTTAACCATCTCGGCCATGCCTCCATTGATAACAATATTAATTTATCATTTTCCCAAACCATCTGTGATGGATAAAGACATTCCAGGGGGCTCCCGTGAACCGAATTGTGACGAGAATTAAGAAATTAACCACCACATCTAGCTTCCTTCCCCATCACAAAGGGGCCCTCGTTCCATCTCGCTGAGCAGCAGCCTGTTCTTCCCGCTCACTGCCCTGCCCCCTTCCCCTCAGCACTGAATGTGGCTGAAAGAAGGTTGCTAAGAAGGTGGCGAGCCTTAAGACACAGTCATTAGCAGGGCAGAAGCATGAGACAGCGGCTCTGCAATGCATTCTTGATGCTCCCATCACCCTTTATTTCTTCCTGCGGCTCTGCCAAGGGTTGGGGGAAGGGAAGAAGTGAGCACCCCAGGCCACCCCCCTGGGGTTTCTTGGGGAACTGTCTCTGTCATGCTCCCATCCCATCCCCAGTTTTTCTTTTGAATTTTCTACTTTCCCTTCCTGGCATCATAAGCATATCTTTTCCAACTTGTCATTCTTGGTTGTGTGTGAGAATTAAAAAATGCTGCTTGGGTCCCACCCCCAGAGATTCTGGTTTAATCAATGTATCCGGATGAGAAGCCTGGCCTTGGAAAAGCTGCCCAAGGCTGAGAACTGCTGGGGTGGTGGTTGGGATATAAGAAATAAAGATGGCAGGTTGCTCCTGGTATGGATTCAGGAAAGTTTCCCGGGTTGGCCTAGGCCCTTCAGTTAATTCCTTTGAAGGGAGAGATTACTAATTGATGGATTGAAATGCTTTAAAGACACTTTCGGTGAAAATTTGGAGGTGGGCACTTAAAATTCTTTTCATTTGAAATCTTTCTGGGTGAGGCAGGTGCATCGTGTGTGTGTGTGTGTGTGTGTGTGTGTGTGTGTGTGTGTTTGTGCTTAGATTTACTCATCAGAGAGTTGAGTCTCAGAACGCTTAAGTCCCTCCCACACCCCCTCTCTGACCCGTTCAACTCAACCCATTAAAGCCTCAGGTGTATACTCTCCCACTTTTTGGGTAACCCTTGTGACAGGTTCATTTTCTGCCCTAATTTGGGTGGTTCAGGGAGAAGAATCTTTTTTAAAATTTAAGTTAAGAAATATTTTACATATCGATCCCAGTTTCCTCTCCCTCCCATCCTCCCATGCCCCGCCCCCAACCGCCTGTCCCATTCTCCATCCACTCCCCAGGGAGGGTGAGGGCTTCCAGGAGGGATCATCAAAATCTGTCAAGTAATTTGGAGCAAGGACTAGGCCCTCTCTCCAGTCTCTAGGTTAAGGGAGTATCCCTCCTTGGGGGAATGTGCTTCCAAAGTTCTTTCGTGCACCAGGGATACATCCTGGTTCCATGTTCAGGAGGTCTAGGGAGAAGAATTTTTACCTGAGGCAAGAAGGTAGCCAGTGGTTGTCCATTGCAGCTCCAGCCTTGAGCACAAAGGATCCCTGTCCATGGAGTGGCCTCCTGTTTGCAAGGAGAGGAAGAGGTAGCTCAGATCCTGCAACCAGGAGAGAAGACTCCAAGAGCTTACCTTAGTGTGACCCTGTTGTCATAGTTTTGCCATGCTCTCTGGGGTAGGGGGTTGGGGGGGAGTTGGGGGTGAGAGTCAAAGCTCCAGCTACAGGTATGGCTCCTGCATACAGTCTACAGGGCACTGGGCTCATCTCACAGCACCTTAAATCTCAGCCATGTACACATGGAATTATCTTCAGGTTTCTAGTCACACAGTCCCT